TATTATTATTATTATTATTATTATTATTATTATTATTATTATTATTATTATTATTATTATTATTATTATTATTATAAATATTTATACTTGTATATTTAATTGTTTGCTTAGGTATCTTTGCATTATATAACGGACTTGAGGCGACGATATGGCGACATGCGACATGGAATGGAGGATATTTTGGCGTGATTTTTAGTATTAGAAAACTTTTACCTAAAGCAAAAGTATGTAATAATTTCATTTTTTTAATTCATATAAAATACATGAAATATTTCAATTAATTGATTGTTATCATTATTATGGAAAATAAAAGAATAAACAAGCCGAATTACGAAATAATTTTATTGCTGGAGCTATTGGTGGGACATTTGGAACTATGATAAATACTCCATTTGATGTGGTTAAAACACGGATTCAAAATGATACAAATACGATAAAAAAATATAATTGGGCTTTACCTTCACTAAAAATTGTTGCTCAAGAAGAAGGGTAAATAAATTAAAATTAAAATTGTTAATGTCAATATGTGTGATTATTATGATTGATCAATCGATAATGATCTTCTCTCACACTCTATTAATAGATTCAAAGCACTTTATAAAGGATTTGTTCCCAAAGTTCTTCGACTTGGTCCTGGAGGTGGAATTCTTTTAGTAGTATTTGATCAAGTCACAACATTAATGAGAAAACATTTAGATAAATAGCTATAGTAAAATAATTAATGTTGTTAATTATTTATTTATTTACTAGATAGATTTTAGAATTAAATTTATAATAAAATAATAATAAAACTATTAATTAATACACTGCAACAAAAGTCGCAGAGATGGTGATAATGAATTTGGCAAAGGAAATTGTTGACGACCACGAAAAATATATTTTTATTTTAATGCAAACTTTAAGGAAAGTTTTTCGCGTTTTTCAATTCATTTTTAAAATTCATTTTAACATTCAATTTCAAGAATAAGAGAAAAAAAATTTATCAATAGTAATAGGAAAAAGGATTCTTGTAAGATAATTCAAATAAACAAATAAATATAAAATATAAAATATAACTACTATTTAACAATGTAAAATAAAAATTTATATATAATAGTAATACCAAGACCATGCAAAATGAAAATAAGCCACATAATGTCCTCTTGACAAGTAAACACAAAAACAATTTTGGTCTAAGCGTAGGGCAAAAGTGCCATCAGGTGATAACGGAAAGTTTTAGTGGCCAAGCCTCCGTATTTCCCTTCCTGATTGTATACGATTGCAAAGTCATGAATTCCTTAAAATATTTTTCCGAAAAATAAAATGAATAACATTAAATCCCACATATTGAGCTTTAGGTGTCGGATTTAATAAACCATCCTTCCTACAACTATCTGGTGCCTTGCCTATAACCAAATAGTTTGGGTTCTCATCTTTAGATCAGAATAATAAATAGTGTAATAGGTAAAATTAAAAGTACGTACATTTCTTGAAATTCACAAAACCATCATGGACGACCAATTTAAAGAATTTGTATCCAAAAATGGAATTCCTTGGACACAGTGTTCGCCTAATAGAAGTGTGGTGTCATAGCAATTGCTGACTTTTCTAAATTGTTACAAGTAACGGACCACCTGTGGTTCATAGGTCTTTTGAAAATTCCTGAATGCGATTTAAAAATTCACAGCCCCAGCCATCACGAAATCATATATATTTTCTTGAGAAAGGAATATTAGAATGATAAATAGGTCAGGTTTTATTGATAAGTTTCTTCATCTAAAGTTGGAAATTAGAGTCTTTAATCTTGTCATCCAGCATCAGATTCAACAACTAAACTAGTTTGTGAACTTGGTACTATTGTAACTTACCTAAATTATTAATTATACAAACATTTTTTTCTTTTAAAAAAATTCATCTAAAATAATATCAATAAATTAATTGATTTATTACAGGCCAGAATGATTCGAAAAAGTACTTTAAAAAAGAGTGTATGAATTCGAATATCAATTTATTAATATTAATACATTAATATTAATTATGTTTTATACGTGAATTTGAATTAGCCAATTAAAAAAGACTTTCAATTTCACACATCGTTAGATATTTTCAATTTAATATTTAGATGATTTCAAAATTTTAATGTCTGGGCAATTGTTGGATATACCGTTCAATTATATTAAATAATAAAATTCTATTTTTTGGAGGCAATAGATTTATCCACATCATTTTCACTCAGTGAATATGAAATCATACATGTCTCCAGTTTGAATCAACAAGCATCACTTGCATTAATAGATGCCAATAATGACACATTATATCTTATAAGTGGGTCTATATTCTATAAATACAAGTTTATTTGATACACGGACTCTATACAATTTCGATGAATAATCACAATTTACACAAGTTAATAATGGGAATACTTTATTATAACAGGTGAAGGCCTGCTCTAATATATAAATTCAAAACACTATTTCATCATTTGTAGTATTAATGATCCACTTGCCTCATTTATATATTTACTCGTCACCTATTGAGTATAATGAAAGTATCATTATATAAGGTTTGACTTAACAATGGGCAATATAATAATAATAATATTATTATTTATTTTAAATTTCAAGATTATGATTTATAATATTTATAATATTAAGAAAATAAATGGTCTGCAGTTGTAAGTTTTATTATTATTATTTATAATTAAATTTTAATAATAAATAATATTGATAGATTTTTCGTTATATTAGAAAACAGTTGGTGATGACCATCTCGACGAGATATTATTAGGTGAAAATTAATTACTATTAATGCTATGATTACAAATTTAATTGTTTAATCGTAATGTTTATTAATTTGTTGTTTAGTGCTTGATGGAAGAATAATTGTGTATGATGGTATTGGTGCGGAAGCATACAAATTAGCAATATTAGACACAACACAAACTCCTTTTCAATGAACAGTTCCAACAAATATTGTTTGCCCATTTACTGGAATACATGATGTGGCCATATTTCAAATTTATATGGAAGTCTATGTGAATTGCTATAAAAATTTTATAATACATTTTTTTATTAATAATAGGTAGGGTCAAAATAATTCAAATATTTTAATATTGGATATCAGTGACGAAATAATTATAAATGGTTGAAACAAATACTGGCACCAATACTATACTTCTAGACTATTATAATTGTTGGACCAGTTATGGTTGTAGTCCTTGCCATTGCTTTATTTGCTATATTAATATGAAGTTGTCTTTGACAATTATAGTAGTAATAATGATGATGATGATGATGGTGATGATATTGATGACAATAATAATATTGATGAAAATAATAGTATTAATAATAATATCAATATTGAAATTAATTCATTTAAAATGACAAATGTATCAACATTGATATTAACACTGAAGCTGTCCTTGATATTATAATAACAGTATTAATAGTAGCTTTAACGATAATAATATTATTACTAGTGATGATAGTGATAATCAGACATCTAAACTAATAAAATTTTATTTATGGGAAGGCAATTAAATAGAAATATAGTATCTTATTAATAAACCATGATTTACATAACAATTTTTTCTTTATTTCAACATTTGATGCCAAAAAATTGGGGTTCGTGAATAATTAATATTTATTATTATACTTTCTTCGATTAATTAATTACTCTTGGTATTAGAACTATATAATATCACAATCACACGAGATTGGGAAGCTTCATCACTTTGTATTACTGAAATTGTATCTTGTAAATAAAAAATAACCAATAAAAGTACATCATCTCTCTCCACACACGAACACAATCTTTTTCTGATCTTTCCATCTACAGTTATTTGATCATTCTACTCAATATTATATTTATTATTATTATTTTATTTGAAAAAAAATTGTAAACCCAATTTCTTCTTCCTCCTTCTCTTCTTATATTTAAAGGTTAATACTACTTAGCGTTAATTTTATAATTTTTTTAATAACAAAGAATAAAAAAAAAGAGTAGAAAATGAGTGACCCAGATTATTATTATTGGTATTCAAAAATTTTTTTTGTTAAATAATTAATATTGAATTCTTAAAGGTTTGAAATTAATTAATTTTATATGCACTATATTTATATAGTCCTTCCTACTCACCAATATTTGGCGCTTTGGGTTGTACTTCTGCTATAGTATTCACTTGTAAGTTATATATATATTATAGTTTATAGTTTATTATAGTTTATAAAAAGAAACATATGAAATATTATAAAGAAATCTTTTTTTTCTCGCTTCCATTTATCATTAAAATAATTTACATTAATAATCCATTTTTATCAATACATATATTATAAAATACATAGGTTTTGGAGCCGCTTATGGCACAGCCAAGTCTGGAGTAGGAATATCTACGATGGGTGTTTTACATCCTGAATTAGTTATGAAATCCATTGTTCCTATTATTATGGCTGGTATTATTGGTATTTACGGCTTGGTGGTTTCAGTTTTGATTTCTGATAATCGTAAGCAATCTAATCAACATGTGAATTATTATCTTTCGGAGGAAAGAATTCAACATTTATTTCTAATTACTTTTTCTTTATTTTAAATAAAATCCATGTAATACGTTAGTCAAAGCGAAAATGCCTTTATACACGTAAGTTTCAAAAAAGAATTTATTCAATTCATATTAAAAATCATTCATTATCTCATATAATAATAATAATAATAATAATAATAATAATGTTATTGTTGTTGTATAGTGGATTCATTCAACTTGGTGCAGGTTTAAGTGTTGGTCTTTCAGGTCTTGCAGCAGGATTTGCAATTGGTGTTGTTGGAGATGCTGGCGTGCGTGCATCTGGACAACAACCAAGATTATTCGTAGGAATGGTAATTATGATTATTATTCATTCATATAAAAAAAATTATTACAAATTAAATTTTATTTATTTATTTATTTATCATCTTTTCTTTAATTCTTTATTTTTGCTATTCATTATTATTTCATCAAAGATTCTTATTCTTATTTTTGCTGAAGTATTGGGTCTTTACGGATTAATCGTTGGATTAATCTTGAATACCAAAGCTACTACTAGCGATGTTGCTTGTGGATAAATCATGTTCATTTGTTTTGGAGAGAATGAGTAAGAGAGATTGATTAAAATAGTTATGTCATAATAATCAAAAAAAACTTTATAATAATTTTTTCCCTTGTATTTTTTATTTTTTGTTTTTGTAAAATTGGGATATGTGAATAAATAAATATTTATATATAACATTAAATTATGATTAGTATTGTTTTTATATGTACTTTCTTACAATCTGTTTTCTTTAAATCTATTTATTATTATTAAAGGGTGATGTATTATTCAGGCACACAATATCTCATATGCAGAGGGATTTTTCAAATCTCCTCAGAAAAATATTTCTCTTTTCTTTCAAAAATTTAAATATATATTTTGATTTCAATTAGAGAAATTAGAGAGAACTAATTATTTACAATATTGATGCTCTCACATATAAGTTTTGTTGTCATAACTTTTATTAATTTCAAAGCGCTTTTGACAAAGAACTATAATTTCTTTACGAAATTCTTTTGATGAATAAATTTTTCGAAATCAAACTACCATTTTATAGCTCTTGATGTGGTCAAGAGACCTTCGATTGGTGCGTGCAGATAATGAAATCTCATTCTAGTTCAGGTTAATATATATAAGTCGATTGTTTGAAAATCATATCCAACTATATTAATTATAAAAATGGAGACAATGAGCAGCATCATCAAGAAAAAAAATGGCCGATGGATTTAAAAAACAAATAGAAAATGATGGCAATGAAAACAATATATGGGGCATGCTTGCAACAAAACCAGACAAAGTAAACATTTGTATTACCAAAATTTCAGGGGTCAAAATTTAGTAATGTGATTATTAAAATCACCCATCTGTTATTTTTGTTTTTTCTCAAGTACTATTACTATATATATGAAACTCATTTACATCAAATCTATTATGGGACATATTGTCATTGTGTTCTTAATATCATGACAAATGTTCTTGTAATTGAATGGAAGGAGTGTAAGTTTAAATGTAAACACAAGTATCCCAGATATTTAGATATTTAGACATTTTCAACATTACAGCAAACCAAATAGCCTTGATGAGTATATTTTGACAGTTGAAATGTCTAAATATCTGTTGAAATTATATATTTCAGCTAACAATTCTAATGAAGCTGTAATAAAACAAACTTAAAAAAAATATATTGTAAATTACACAATTTGTGAAGCTAAAACCTCTTGTTGAATATTATATAAATCAATGGCAGAATTATTGCTGACAACTATACCAAGAACTATAACATTATACCCTAACATTTGAGCTCCCACAACAATTTGGAGATCCCAGAAAATATCTGAAATCAAAATGTTGACTTGATAGGCAGGAAGATAGATGCACTTTATTAATATTAAATTAAAATATTAAATCCTATTTATTATATTTATTTATATTACTTTTATAATAACTATATTCTGAGAATTTTCTTACCAAAGATTGTCAACTTGTATATTAAACAATTCAACTATACTCTGAATATTTTCAAGAGTAGTTTTTTCACCTAAATAGATATTTATATAATAATTATAATATTGATAAAGTATCAAATCAACAACACATATATTGGGTTGGATGGAAAAATTTACCATTTAATGTCCATTGAGTTCTATTATCAGCTCTTGTGATCAAACAAATTATTATCACATTATCATCATTAGAGATGGGAACCGCAATTAGCCGCAATTCAATTTTCATATGCCGCAACCGCAATTCAATTTTTGTATGCCGCAATTAGTTGCAACTAATTGAGGAACCATCTTTAATCATCATCATGTTTAAATTCAATCTTTATAGATGCATGATCTTGTCCATCTTTTATTCTTTTATAAAATCAGAAATATTTCTCATATCCTTGAGAAACTTTGTTTTTTAGTGGGCCTGGAAAGGGGAATAAATAAACAATAAGTAATATCAATCAATAGTTATTATTATAATTCTAATCTAACTTATTTTCATCAACAGAATAGCAAAATGATATAAAACATTTAAATTCCTAACCAAATTATTCCATCCCAAGCCAAGAGCAATGGCAAACATGAACTCTCATTAGGTCCAATAATTAGATTGAGATTTGGATCAGGTCTAAACTCTACCAACTCATAATTCATAAAATTATTCAATTCAATGCAAACCAGGGTTGGCAAATTGACTGGTCCATTGAGAACAGATGGATTTTGGACTGGTCCATTGCCATTAATAAAATACTAAATATGGTTAAAGGGTTACACTAATGGACACAATGGACCACCAATAGACCATCAATGGACTGCACATTTGCCAACCCTGATGCAAACAATTTCTCCATTTTGATACTGCTTGGAGTATAAAATAAAATATTACTAAAAAATGTTAAATTAACAAACAGAAAAGAATTTTAAAATCCTTGCCATATCATCATCATCATCATCATTATTAAGTTGTAGAAAAATTTCAAATAATGATTTCTCAATATCGTTTATCTCTGTTGCATTTTTTTCTGCAACTTTATTAAACTTTGAAATGTTTGCATCTTTTTCCTCTAGTTTTTCCAACATGTTTTTCATGGTGAGTCGCAGCATTCTCTAATTTTTTAATTACAAAAGAAAAATCAAGTATTTCAATAATATTATTAATGGATTTTGAATATTCCATCAAAACATAATTTACTTACCAATTCTTGCGCTAGTGATGGTTGGAATGAACTGCTACTATAACTAGAGTGATGACGGGTGGTGGGTGATAACCACCACCACCACCTTTAAAACACTTACCCAATTTGCACTTCAACGTGCTCATCTTCTTTGCTTCTTTTATTTTTCTTGTCATTAAACAACTTTTTTTTTTAAAGAATTAAAAATAAAAAGAAGTTTGTGAATGATTGATGCTTACACATTAATTATTTATCCTATTGGTTTTTTTTTTGGTATGACTCACATTTTTTGCACGTCACCTGTACCACTTCCCTGTACCTTTCTAGATTCAGTGGGTAAATCTTGAAAAGTACAGGGTACAGGGATCAACAAAATTTTCCTGTACCCTGTACTTTTCTAGCGTCCCTTCGTAGATCTCCACCACCATTTTACTAAAGATAATTTGGACCCAATTCAATCTTTTTATTAAATAATTGGTTGAAATCCTTCCATAAGGTTTCAATATCTTTCGGGTATTGATTTTCACCAACTGGTTTACTCGGTCTATATTTTCTCCAAGACTCTATTTCATTAATTATTTTATCAATTCTTTGATTTATATAACAGAGCTGGTTGTAATTTTTATATCGGAAAAAAGACCAAGCCATATAGATAAATCAACTAAAGGAACACCTTCATCGCAAGATTATTGGGAGGAGTAACACTAATGAATCATTGGATTCTCTTAAGGCTAAAAAAGTTACATTTGATAACTTTAGAATGAAAAAATCACATTCAGCAGTTAGAGATGCAACAATTGTTTTATATTTAATTTTTGTTTTATTAACACATTCTCTTTACGTAGTATTTAATTCGTTAAGGAAAGAATTTAATTAATGCTGACCTGGGCAAATTAAATTCATATATGGTATTATAACGCTATAAAGTTCAAAATTTTCATGAATGCTAAACTACGAGATAAAAAATATAGTTTATCCCACATGCTAGATTATCATTATTAATTATGAGCGACAAAACCGGGAATTGATTCCCGATTAAATTAGTAGAAATTATTATTATATGGGAAAATTTTGTTACTGTTAACAATTTCCCCAACATCAATATTTCCATAACAAGATGATTCAAGTGATAATATTCACGAAAAAAATAATTTTATTAGTATTAGAATATAAAACCTCTCCAAAATAGGGACTTTAGCGCCTATATAGACATATTCTATCAATTTACCGAGTTAAATTTTTAAAATATAAAATAGTTCTCGAGTGCATACTTTTAAAATTTACACAAATTTAGGAGATCTCTTGTTAATTCGGTAACGTGATTAATTACTATCCAATCATCTGATTGATTTTTTTTGGTTTAAATCCGTTTCACTTTTATAAAATTTTGTAACTAATGAATGATTATTACTTGTACCAGGTTAGATCCATTGAATGTTGGTTATTAAAAGAATATTCATTTAGGTCTAAAAACAAACCTTGTGTGATCTTGCTTTAATAATTTGATTGCCATTTTCTTTTTGCTGTATTTAAGAACACAAGCCTTAAAACCAACCCTCTTCTCTTCTCTTCACTTTATAAATTGTCTATGATTTTTATGCAACCGTTTGCAGATTAACAACAACAAGTGGACTAACAGATATCTTTATCATAAAGGATTTGTTTCATGGAATTCATTTAAAACTTTAAAGCTTCACAGTCGACCAAAAATTTGATTCTAAATTTCGATGCCAAAGATTCACTAACAATGAATTCGGTGGCGGTATAATATCATATTAATAAATTTATGTATGTACTTGCTATTCTTTGTTATTTATATCTAACACTATGATTATAAATATTATAATTTCCCTTTAATCCATAAAAAATATTTCAGAAAATAACAATCACAATAGATCGATATTCTAGCAAAATATTGAAAATGGCGACTTTTATAGGGGGTATCTCTAAAATTAAAATCAAATGATGCTTTGAATGATGGGCAGATTTGAGCTTCTTTTGGATCAATAGAGATCGACATAAAAATATGACCAATCAAGTCAATTTCAATTTCAATTTATAATATAAAAAAAAGATATTTTTTTTTCCATATCTTAAACTAATTTCATAAATTAGCAAAATTGACAAAATGGGCGACGGTGGTTTCTTTAAGGTTTGTTGATTTATTATCAATTTAAAGAGTTAATAGTCATCCGGTATCAATGATTAAAAACCAGATTAACTCACTAATGTTGTTCAATCAGGGTACAAGTCTAGAACAAGATTGCAGATTTTCAGATAAGCAAAAAAAACTTTTAAAAAGTATGAATTTTCCTGTAGAATTTAATAAAAAGGTAAATTATAATATTATTATATATATATATTTATGAATAATTTTTGATTTATACATATTTGATTATTTTGATTAAGAAAAAATTTTTTTGAAAGATTATTTTATTAGTATAATGTATCTATTTATTTTTTAAATTACATCTTCAATATTTCCTTTATTATATTCGTTCTTTACTGGAGAATAAAAAAAAATTCAAATTATATTAATATTGGATTGAAAAGAATGATACAGAATAGAGAACTATGTATATAATATATATGCAGTAGGAAAAAAAGGGAGAAAATTTGAGATCTTTAGTCCACCACCCACGGATAAAATTTATAATAATAATAGAAGTTTTATATGGCAATTAAATTTTCAAAACGTACACACGCACACAAATTTTCAGTTCAATCACATGTATCAAAGCATGATACTACTGTTATTTATTATCCTTTTTCTTTATACTATCCATTCTTTTTCATTTTATTGGGAATAGTATAGTACATGTATTTTAAGGTGTATAAGAATGGAGTGGAGAGGTTAAGAATAGATATGTTAGAAAGTGTGCCAAGGGATTTTTATAATAGAGTAAATCTGAGCGAGAGAGAACAATTATATATGTGTAAAGTGGTACGATCAATCGGATAATAAAAAAATCAAATATTTTTAGAAATAATAGTTAGCTCTTATACATAATAATTAATTAGTCGATATTTTTATTTTATTCTAGAAAAAAACAAATATTTTATTGTTATTATAATAATTAATCATATCCTTGTTAAATTTTTTGATATTATAGGTTGATATTTCAAAAGTCAACATGTCAGTAATTAGGCCATGGATAGCACAAAAGATAGTTGAAATATTGGGTAGTGAAGATGAAGTGGTTGTTAATTATGTATTTGGTTTATTGGAAGAACAGGTTAGTTTTATTTTAAATAATTTGATTATAATTAGAAGTTAGTTATTAATTTTAATATGGTTGATTTAATTGATTTAATTGATTTAATTGATTGATTTATTCTTTAGATATATTTATTAGCTTATATATAAATATATATAAAAAATATATATAATCATTCACTTTAAAAGTCACAAATCTAATTTTTTTTATATATTTATGATTTATTACTATTAAAAACATATTATAATTATAATTTTCAACAAAAAAAAAAAATCTACCACCAACAACATCAATTATTAAAAAAAAAGAATCTAGATCCAAGAATGATGCAAATAAACCTTGCCGGTTTTTTAGAAAAAAATTCACAAAGTTTTGTTACAGAGTTATGGAAATTACTTTTATCAGCTCAAGAAGGTGTTAGTGGTATCCCACCGATATTTCTTGAACAAAAAATGGAAGAATTACGTAAAATAAAGGTTGTTAATTATTGTTTATTTAATAATTAATAAAAAAAAATATTTAAAAATAATTATATATAATTTATAGGAAGAAGACGAACGAATTTTATCTGAAATACGGAAAAGAAGAGAAAAAGATGAGGAGGAAAGATTAAGATTAAGAGAGTTAAGAGATAGAGAACGTAGAGATGAAAGAGATCGCAGAGATGAAAGAGATCGTAGAGATGAAAGGGAACGTCGAGATGAAAGAGATCGTAGAGATGAAAGAGATCGTGTTGCTATTACTACTAATACTACTACTAATAATAATATTAGTGGCGGAAGTATTAGACATGAAAAAGATCGCGTTAGTAGAGAGGAGAAAGATCGTAGAGAAGACCGCGAAAGAAGAGTTAGTAAAAATAAAAATATATTTATTTACACTATTGTTTTTTCCTTTTGTCTATTTATATTTTAATTGTCTATATTTCATGCATAGGACCGTGAACATAAAAATCGCCATCACAGTAAAAGCAGAGGAGGTGGTGGTGAGGAAAGACATCGTCGTAATTCACATAGAAGTGTTAGTCGTGGTAGAGAAGATGAGGATGATAGTAGGCACCGTAGAAGATCTTATCATCATCGTAGGAGTAGTAAAAGTAGAGAAAGAAGTAGTAGAGATGACCGTGTAAAAAAAGAACGTGTTGATGACGATGATATTAATAATGACAATGTTAATGATATTAGAGATCGTGGTAGTAAAGAAGAAGGAAGAAAACATAAATCTAATAGTAGTAGAAGACGTAGCAGTAGCAGAAGTCATAGACATAGACATAAAAGTCGTAGTAAAAGTCATGATGATTCATATGTTAGTAGTAGTAGTAGGAGGCATAGGCGTTCATCAAAGGATGATGATGTTACTATAAAAGAAGCAATTAAAACATCTATAAGTCCTCCTGCTCCATCATCGCCCAAAAAGCATCACCACCATAATAATAATGGTAGCAATAAGCATCACAGGTATAATGAAGAACAACATCATCACAATAACAATCATCATATTAATGATAATAACGGAAACAAAACAAGTCAGGAAGTGACGGTGGCAACAAAAAGAACAGTTGAATCAGTGGATGAAGAAAATAATAGGAGCTCACCACCACGAAAGAAATCAACTGATGCACCAATATTTAAATCAAAATGGAATGACGATGATGAAGATGAGGAGAAGGAGGAAAAATATGAGAAAACGATAAAGAAGAGCAAGCATAAAAGCAACAGTAACAGTAATAGTAATAATAATAATAATAATAATAATAATAATAATAATAGCAACAGTAATAGTGGTAGTAAGGTACAAACACCTTTATAATTCATATTATAAATTCATATTATAAATCATGGTAACATTCAAAACAAATTTAATATATATTTGTTTATATTATTGTTACTTACTACTACTAAAAACTTTTCTTTTGATTAGATAACGGATTTAAAACAACTCGAACGACAATTAAGAGCAAAGGCAATTGAATCAATGAAAAGTCGCAAGTAAATTGTTCAAAAAAAAAACAATGATCATTTTCTCCTCTCATTCGTTTTTATTATTTACAATTATAATTATTATGTATCATTAATATAATAATTATAAATAACAATAATTAAAAGAAATTCTTAGCAATGAGATTTAACGAGAGGAAATGAATTAATGAATTTCTAAAAATAATAATAGATAATGAAATGATGAATTTTTAATTCATATCATTCATTATCAACATTTTAGGATTTTCTTGTTTTTTTTTCTGATATAAAAAGGGCAACGAATATATATATTATATTATTTCTATTTTTCTATACTATGTTTTTAAAATATGCTATATTATTATCATCATCATCAAATATAAAAAATTTTTATTTTTGGAAAAATTAAAATTAAATAAATCAAACTATTAATTATTATGGATTTGTTTCAGATATTTTCATTGATTGACTTAGGTCTTCAAGCTGTTTTATAATTAATATAAATAAATCAATATAACTAGATAAAAAAAAACCATCATCACCTTCACAACATTATTATTACAATAGATAAATAAATGATAAAATACCTTTCCCATCAGACTATTTAAATTTTTCATTAAATTATTTAAATTATGTTTCTTTTTAGCAAATTGTTCTGAATTTCTTTTGAAATTTTCTTCTGAACCTTCATTTGGTTCACACGATGACCTTTTTTTTCCCAAATAAAAAAAAATTTATAAATTTAGACAAATTCTAGAAATTATAAATATCAACATTCAAATATATATATATGTATATATACATCTCTTCATCGGGTAAATTTTCCATAGTTATATGATCAATTGCTAAAGCAATTTGTGTTTTTCTTATAGAATCCAACTCTTTAAAAATTATATCACTGTTAGGCCCTTTTTTTTTAATAAATAAATTAATAATTCAGCGAAATTAAGAAAGCTAAGAAAATTTAAAAAGTAACAAAAAAAATTCATTCAAAGAGTAATAATAGTCAATAATGATTACGAGGCTAGCGGTGGTGTATTATTTATTAATTACCAAATACTCGCATTTCGTCTCTTGTAAATATTTTATCAGACTTTTTAAATTCATTTTCTAGAGAGTTTAATACTTTTTCATGATTTGTTGAAGGAGAAATTGGGATTAAATTTTCTAAAAATGAATTATTATTATTTACAGGTGTTCGTGCTATGTTTTCTTCCATATCTGATACCTGATATATTAAAATTTGAAAATTTATTATTCAAGAAATATGCGAAATTCTTTTTAATTGGCTAATTTAATTACCAAATTAACGTGTTAAATAGAAATTTTATCTTATTACATTTATCAGAATTATAAAAGGATTATTTTCACAAAATGTGAATTAGGCGAAAACATATCAAGTCTTCACAAGTAATATATTATTTGGTAATTTTGCTGATATTCTATCAGTGTCTCAAGATTCATTGGATATTTATAATTTTCGCACAAAAAGAAATTTCAATATTTTTTGGGTAAATTCTTAAATTTTGAAAATTATATCTGTGGTTTTCGAGGGTCTTGGTTGTGCATACGAAATTTAATCTAGACGAAATTCGATTAATAATAATAAAAATACACCAAATGAAAGCTATGGTTTTGGTCGAAGAAAATCAATAATTAAAAAATCAAAAAACATGATCCAAATTTTTATTTTACAAAAAAAAAAAGGCCTACAAGTTCAATAACAAATAATAGCAATCAAAAAAGCCAAAATTTGGGACCATTTCAAAAATCAATATGAAGTGGACATTATGTTGATTTTGAAACAATTTTTATTGAAGAATAGTTGTAAATTGTGAACCAACTTGGGACCCGATTACTATCGTCCATTTTATTTTATCGGACAAAATCATGTAAAAAGTCTTGTTATTTGTAATACTTGAAGTTTTCTTCAGCGAAAAAAATAAATCATTGATCTTTTAATAATATAATATCCCAACTTTTACTGGCTGTAATTAATTAATAAAGCCGGCGTGACTGATTGATTCATAACCCTTTCTGATTATTAATGGCTTGGCCAACCTTTAATTGATCCCATTTACGCCTCAAGTATAGATTTTCTATTCGTAATATAAATTTTGTTTTTGTTCGAATTATTTGAATTATTCATTTTATTTGTTTTTACTCGTTTTATTCGAATAGGCTTTCAATCTAATTCGAATACTCAAATTCGTAAAGATAAATTGAATAAACCTTATTCTAACAAGAAACCCTGCTCAAGTAGTATAGTGATTTTAGTTTTAGTTGGAACATTATTGGCTGTATGCCAGGTAAAGATAATATCTTGGCTGTGTGCCAGATCTGGTAACTTTGTAATAAATAATTCGGGTCGCATTCTCGCAATATCTATAGTAATAGGCCGTAAATAATTACGGCATTACGGTTTTATGGTTTATGATTTTTATAACTTTGTGTCGTGTCAAATTTATTTAAGTAAATGCCAAATTTCCGTAATTCAGTATCATAGCAAAAAAATTTTAAAAATCAGTTATAACGCAAATTTAATCATAATCCGCTGTGGCAAGATCCCTTGTGGCAATGTTTTATTGATGTTCAAACTGCCTAAGCCAGATAATACTATTAATGTTGAGGTTGATTCGAGATCAGCCATCTTTAAAAAATTTCATCGAGTCTACTATATGCAACAGAGATATTAATATATATAGTTTTTTGTCGTACCACTCAAAAATTGTATTTAAGTTGTAACACCGACTTCAAATTAAATGTTCTTTCATTTTATTAATAATAATAATAAAAAGACATTAAAGAGTATTTTTTTTCTTATAAATAAAATTTATAGATAAAACCTGTAGAACTTGCTTTAAAAGCAACAAACATAACTAAAATAATAAAAACAATAATAACGACATCAAATAAAAATTAATAATATACAACAAAGATGTCAATAGAATCTGCAAGAACTGTAACTTTAGGAACATTTGAAAATAATAATATGGTAACACCTATATCGACAATAAACAATAATGAGCAAATGAGTTCGGAATTATTAGAGTTGAGATCGCGGGTTGAGCAAATAGACAAAGAAAAGGAAGCAATAAAAAAGGAAAAGCAAGAATTGTTGACTCATTGTGAATCAATTAAAGAAGAAAAGAATCAATTAGAAACACAATATCAAACTTTGTTAAATAAACTAAAGGTTATCGCAGATAAATATAAATCTAATATGGTAATTTAATAAAATTATATAATATTTCAAAAAAGTCACTTAATTATAATTCTATAATAAATATACATATAATGTGTACTTATTTGTTCGTTTTCTTGTTTAATTAGGATGAACTAAATAAATCGCGTCAAGAAAAAGATCAACTGAGCCAACAAAATCAAGAACTTTCAGAAAAGCTCAACAGATTACAATCAGAGATGTCGGTTGTTAACGAAGGAAATCAAAGGATAACAAGTCAATTGGAAACATTACAATCTCACATTTTTGAGATACAAGAACAATCAGCCAATGAAATTAACGAGAAAGATAATTATATTAAAAAATTACAAAACGATTTGGATCGTTCAGAGAGTGAAAGAGAAGAATTGGAGGTTGTTGCAATGGAATTAAAAAGTGCCAAAGAGGTTTCACTTAACCGCATAAAACATTTTGAAATGGAAACAGAATTATTAAGAAACGAAAAAGAAACTTTGAAAATTGAAAAAAATAATGAATCTGAAAGTTTGGCAAATTTACAAGCTGTTTTAGAAGAATTTGAAGCTGGTAAATTGATAATTTTAATTTTATATATATATGAAAAATTCAACACTTTATATTTTATTTCATATATTTTATTAGATGATTAAATATAAGCACTTTTTTTATCCACTTATAATAACATATCAATGAATAATCAAAATAGCTAAACAATCTGAAATAAAAGAAGCAGTTGAAGGAATGCAGCGAAGGCTTTCTACAACTAGTAAAGAATTAGCAGAATATAAAGATAGAGCATTGTTGGCAGAAGTATGCTAGTGAATTACAAGTTTCTATTATCAATAAACAAATTATTTTACTTTTCTAAATTCATAATAGAAGGTTTTAATTTCAAATATATATTTTTTTTCTCGGTAGAATCAATTAAGGCAAATAAAACAAGAAGTTGGTAAAACTACTCAATATGAAAAAGAAATCAAAGTCAAAAATCTTTTGATTGGCAAATTACGACATGAAGGTAAAAATAATGAATTTGTGCATCATAATAAGAAATATTTAATTTAATTTAATTTAATAATATAATTTTCCATTATATATATATATATATTACATTAGCAATAATATTGAATGAACATTTGACTGAAGCTTTAAGACGTATGAGAGAGGAGAGTAGTGAAAATAATGTCGACAAGTTAGTTTGTGGTTATTTGAATCGTCTTTTTGTCTTTTTGAATAGATTTATTTAATTAAAAATATTAAAAATATTAATTAATTTTAATTTTTTTTTTAAAATAAATACATTGTAGACGACTTATAACAAATCTTTTGATTGCATTCTTTAATACTCCACGTGGTGATAGTAAAAGATTTGAAATTCTACAGTTAATGGCCAATATGTTACAATGGAGCGAAGAGCAAAAAGAAAAGGTTGGCCTAATAAGAAAAGCATCAATAAATAGACCTATAGAGGACCGATCTAGTGGCTGGGTATCAGGTCTATGGACTCCAACCTTGGAGAGACCTCGTAGTAGGTTATCAGAAGATGTCCCTAGACCAACTATTCGTATAAGTGAAGATGAGGAAGATCGCCCAAAAGAGGTATTAATTTGATTGTATTGGTTTCGTTGAGTCTGTTAATCTTAATATATAATTTATATTTTCTCTTTATCCTAAAAAGTCATTTTCGGATATGTGGATATCTTTCTTACTTAAAGAGGCAAGCAAAGAAAACGATCATCTCGGTCGCAATCATAATCACAATCCCAATCTTAACCAAAAACAAAATAACATTAATAATGATCATAACAATATCAACAATATCGACAACTACGACACTAATAATAATAATAATAATATCAGCAGCAACAACGACATCAATAATGATATCGGCAATAACAACGACATTAATAATAATAATATTATTATTAGCAACAACAACATTGACAACATTGATAGTATTGAGGAAGTAAAAAAACATTAAAATAACCATTATTTTGCTTTAATGACAATAATTTTTTAATTATAATAATGTATTATATTTATTAAACATTTTATTTTAAATGATAATAATAATTAAATAATTTTTTTGTATTTATTTTATCATTGATTTTTTTTAAATCCTAGAAAATTATAATAGAAATTAAAAAAATATTTTATAATTTAATTCTCGCTTATTTTTTTGGATATAAAATTGCCAAGAAAAAAAGATTAAATTCCTTCTTTTATATATTTGTTAGACTGGAGATGATTTTTCTATAATTTGATACATAAATATAGAAGTGATATGATAACAAATTACAAAAGGTTTTAAATAAAATCAAATTATATTAAATAGCATTGATTCATTTCTCATCAGATCGCAATGAACTATTATCATTATTTTTTTAAAAAAAAAGAAAATGTTATTCTAAAATATAAAATTCAATAACAATAAATTTCACATCACCAATTTCATCATCATTACTTACCAATTGCCAAACACCTTTAGCATATTGTACAATCTCATTTGCGCCCATTTTGCTTTCACCATAAACTCTATCAACAAACGTAATTGGAATTTCTCCTATTGTATAACCCAAATGTCTAGCCCTTACCATCATTTCCATTTGGAATACGTAACCTTTCGAGACAACCGAAGAAATTATTTGTTCCAATACTTCTTTTTTGTATAACCTAAAGCTGCCTGTAAGATCTGAAACACCAGGTCGCAATAATGTAGAAGCAAGATAATTTGCACCTCGACTATTATTTGATCAAAGAAAGTAAGTAGTTTTTTATTAATTGATTTATTGATTGATTGGGAAAGTTTTATTAAAAAATCTTCCCTTTTTACCTTATTATCTTTCGTCTAAGATCCCATCCATAAACGCCACCTCCATTAGCATATCTTGTGCCGGTCACAATATCGTAACCATTGACCTTTTGAAGTCTTTAATTATTAATAAATAATAAGTTAATTTTATTTTAAAGAAAAATAAATAATTTTTTTCATGGTAATTTATTTACCTAATAAATTGAGGAATAAATTTAGGCTTTTTATTTTTTTAAAAAAAATATTATTTTTATTATTATTTTGATATATATAATATACTTACCTTATTGCCAAATATTAAATCTAAATCATATCTAACATTTAACATATCTAACTTTTAAGATCTAATTAATATACAATACATACATGATGTGAAAAATCTGCATCCATAATAATGACAAAATTGCCAGTTACAAATTTTAATCCATGAACATATGCAGTTCCTAAACCTAATTTACCAGCTCTAGGCTTAAGAATCTAAACCAATTAAAAATTTTTGAGTGATTGCTACAGGAAAATTTCTTAAAATTTCTTAAAATAAAATAAAAAAGCTTTTAACTATTTGATCCGGTCCATAAACTTTTGCAAGTTGTAATGCAATCTCTTGTGTACCATCTGGTGAAGCATCATCAACTATAATAACTTCCCAATTTAAATCACTACAAATATATTTATATTATAGAATAACGATTAACAATTATTTATAAACAGAGTTTTATAAATATATATTAAATCAATATATTTAACTGTTCTTTAAATGTTCTTGCCAGCAACCAAATAAGTATTGGTAAATTTCCTCGCTCATTATATGTTGGCAATATCACACTGTACTTATCTTCTATACTTTCTGTTGGTACTTGAACTGTGGAAAACATGGTTCGTTTGTTAAATAAAAAATGAATGAAATCAACCGGTAACACGAAATAAAATAAATGAGGATCTGCATTGTGCACATATTTATTCCAAAAAAAAATAATTAGATTTATTATAATAATGTCTTATCTTACTCGTACAATTAGTAATTTTTTAAAGATAGGACCAAGAGAATACCTTAGACAATTGAATCGTATTGGAGACACGAAATTTGGTACTTTTATTGGAATTGATCAATTTGGAAACAAATATTTTGAAAATAATGAGGAATTCTTTGGTATGAGCCATATATAAAAATATTTAAGTCATTTTGTAGATTTCTTATTAAACAAAAATTTTTGAAATTGAAAATAGGTAGAGAAAGATGGGTAGAATATGGTACAACAGAATATGATGATGCTAGTCAAATCCCCCCTGAATGGCAAGTATATATATATTTACATAAAAATTTATAGGTCTGTAGTTTTTATATGCTGAAAAATTTAATTAATTTTCTCATAATAAAATATTCAGGCATCGTTGGATTCATAAAATTACTGATAATCCACCAACAAGCGAGCCTTTACCACTTCCAAAATATAAAGCATCACACGTAGAAAATCCAACTTTAACTCGGAAAGCTTATAAACCATATAATACTACTGCACCTAAAATTATACCTTGGGAACCAAAAATCTCACCAAGATCTTGATATTTATAATAATTTAATAAATATATTCATACATAGATATGTATAATATAATAATACAAAATATTTGAAAATTTTATATTAATTAAAGATTTAACAATTTATTTGATTTATCTACCAATTAACTTTTTTTCGAGGTTGAATTAATTTGATATTTTTATCGAGAATTCGAGGATATCAATATGATGATTGTATCTGTTTGTGTTTTTTAGCAGATTTTCACATTTCGTTATTTCTTTGTTTTCTAGGCATTGCCCAAAATATATATTAATGATTTTGCTTTGTTTAAATGCACTTTATTAAAAGTTTACGATCCCTTTTATTTTATGACAGGCTAAAATACAGCATAAATCTTATAATTAATGAAAAAAAACCCTTCAGCATGTAAATCTGGAGACCCGATTAGGGTCTAACAACATTATTGGTAAAGCATTTTTTACAAATTTGTTTTTTTTTTGAAATTGATAAATCACTTATTTGTTAAGACATATCTTTTTGTTTTCTTTTCTTGCTTCTTTTTTAAAAAACTATATAAATTTAAATTTGGATCATTGAGTACATTTTTGGTTATCACAAACTTTTTTGGCCGTTGATCAGTTCTAACAAGGAATTATTATGTATTGTTCAACACAAAGATGTCTTCTTTAATTAAATGAATTTCTTATTTAATACTAAGATTTATTTATAAAAAAAAAGATTATGTTTTTACAATTTCTTTCCAACAAGTCCAGTGAAATCACAACTGATATTCCACCATTGTTTTTGTTTTTCTTCGTCGTAGCTTTCTTCACCTGATTTGGTTATATTACAGAATTGATTAAGATAAATAGCACTTTTTCCAACAATATCATCAGAAGTTGCTGCATACACAATTACTTTACCCCCCTATAATGCCAAAAATAAATTATTGTCTCTTTTTTTTTTTCTATATTAGCATAATTAATATGAATTTTGGTTGTCAAACCTGTTCAGGAGTCCTCGTGAAAGGAAGATATGGAAAAATATAACGCAACACTAATTTTCTAAAAAAGGCAGAATCTCTAGTTAATCCAGTTGTAGGGACAAAACCAGGACATAGTGCAATAACAGAAATATTTTTCACTTCCTTCGCTTTCAAGATTTTATCAAGTTGATAACAAAATAACATTTGTAACAATTTAGAATTCTTATAGAATAATAATCCGTCATAAAATTTACTCCCATCCAAATTGTCATACTCTAAATTTGGTCCTTCACCTGCTCCAGTACCTTTTATGTGTAACGAACTACTAACTAACACTATCCTAACATCGTCTCCTGAATTTAACATACGATCAATTAATAAATCTATTAATAGAAAATTAGATAAATGGTTGATTTGAAATGTTGATTCTAATCCGTCGACACTTTTTCTCAAAGATTTAAAAACTGCTCCAGCGTTAAGAATCAGACGATTTATTGGTAAAGCTGGTGAACGTAATAAAAATTCACTTGCAAAAGATTTAACTGACTCGAATGATTCCAAATCTAGTTGAAATAATTCAATCTTGTGATGATCAGGAACTTTTAGTTGTGAGATTGATTGTTGAGAACTATCGATATTACGAACTGGTAAAATAAAATGATAAGGAGTTGGATGTTTTAACATTTGTCTGAGAGCTTCGTAACTATCATCATCATATATTAACTTTAGTATCTTCAAAAGAAATTATTTATCAGATAAAATGTTCTCCTAATAATATTACCCTAAACCTGAGTTAGCTCCTGTTAATATTACAACTTTATGTGAACTCATTTTTTTTCACTAAAAATAAAAATTGTATGTGGGAAAATCGACCTCTCAGCTAAATTTTTAGAGTAATCATTGATCAAAATTCAACCAATAAAATTTGTTACTATTTATAGATTTTTTTTTTGTGCACAAAAATTTTCAAAAAAAATTTTATTAGTTATTATTACCATTGTAATACTATTTACATAGTAAATGAGTAGCTTTGGCATTATACAGAAACCAATCTGTAAACATTGTTGGTGATATTGAAAATATTGTTATTAATTCAACTAAAGGTAATGAAGCAATTAGATGCAATAGTGAATTGGGTTGGATATGGCATGATTTTGACTCATTTTTAAAAGATCATTTTATTCCTTCGCCTCAAATCAGACAATATTATCAAAAAAGATGATATTGTAAAAGTTTATGTTTCAAAAGAATCAAATGGAATTGAAAATCCTTTTTTACTTTTAAAAAATAATTTTGGTTTTCTTGATCATCCAGAGGTTCTTCCAGTAGAACTGTTATCAGAAAAAAGAAAGAAGACTTGTATTCAAAATTCATCAGCATGTTAGTGGATGTTTATTGTTCAGAACCATAAATAAAATTTTTTTTGTTGATTAAATGTATGCAAATGATGATCATTTCCGAATTTGTTAAAAGAAAAATCATTACGAAAACAAAGAAGACTCAATTGTACTAGTGTTCCATGTTGCAATCCAAAAAAGGAAACATTGTAAAGGTGGTTGCAACCAGTGGTTGCAATTGTTTTTATATGACGCAAAAGATGGTAGCAACCATCATCAAAAGTTGCAGCCAGTATCCTTAAATTGTACAAGGTTTTATTATGCTAACATCACTCAAAACTTTAACTATTTATAATCCTTGTACAATAGAATAAATTGAATCAAAAATCTTGATTTTGGTCCTGAGACCCCAGAAGTTGATTTTCTTAGCCCAGCTCCCATATGTATATATTGATTATCTTTTCAATTCTTTGCCTATAACTTTTTGTAAATCACTAAATATCCATATTTGATCTCTTGATCATGTGTAGGGATGGGGACGGTTTATGTCACGTCCGGCGACGAATAATATTTTTATAATTGATCCGTGACGATTAATTACTAAATTATAAGTGACAATTAATTTGTCTTGTTTTGGCAATATAAATGTCACCTGTAATTTAGTATATTAATCGTCACGGATCAATTATAAAAATATTATTCGTCGCCGGACGTGACATAAACAGTCCCCATCCCTAATCATGTGAAAATGAAAATGTCAAATGAATATTTTCATAAATTTTCATAATCAAAAAATATTATCATTATAAAAAGATTAATATCATAAATCATTAATATCATTACAAATGACTAAATTTTGTTCCTGGTAATACCAATGTTCACTTTGTCTGGTTTTGTTGCAGCATGTCCCATATGAATGATCATCAAAAGCATGGAGGCAGCATGGTAGATATGTACATATTTATTTATTTAGTTCAATTTAGCATTTTTATGAACAATTTTAGTACTCTCATTCATTTCTATGATTTGTGGTTTTTTTAATAAAATTTATTGAATGAAAAGTTTATTGTTTATGATTCAAATATTTTTTTTTTTATGAATAAGGATTATTACATGACATGATCAACCTTTAATATTAAAATTAAAAAACCCACGTGAAGTGCACAGTCATAGTAAATCACTTATTAATTTCCAATTAAATGTGACTTTACCATTATATATGACTTTCTATATATTAGTTGTAATATTGTTCATCATCTTTGAGGTAAAAAAAAATTTAATTGTTTTCCTATATATTAATATTTTTTTTAATGGTTTATACACATGTGCCCTACAAATATATATATTAATTACCTTTTTATCTATTCACCATTAACACTCTCTTTAAATTATTACAATTGTTTTAATTTTGTTATTGTTAAAATTTTTATTTGCAAACAACTACTACTAAAAACTAGAAATGAATGTATATATTATTCAATATAATTTTGTGCTTAAATGTCATTTTTGCTTCAAAATTGACAAATCTCAGAAAATATAAAGGTATTATTAGTCTTGGGAGCTCAACTTTGGTGGATTGGCTGCTTAAAAACACTCATGTATAAAGTTTTATATGTAAAAGTTTTCTTTTTTACTATGAAATGCATATCATTTTTAATTTCTGTCACGTACTATGAAATTACTATATAGTAATACATATCGTATCGTAAAAAAAAATTTTTATATATCACCACATGTTAAAATTTTTTTTCAAAGGACAAATCTTCAGCTTCCTTTTAATATAACTTTTAGTAAAGAAACTCTTCTATAGCTTTTTTAAAAAAGGATCGGTTATAAAAAATAATTTTTCTTTTGTATAAAACTTCTTGTTCTTAATCTTGTAAGAACTTGGTTTTCTTTATTTTTACATTCCTCCCACGAAGATTTTAAAAAACACTTTTAACTTTTTTAAGTATATAGAACAAATGAATCGATTATAATGTATGACTTATTGATTTAACAAGATACCTTGATGTGTGACTTGAATGATTCATAATGTTTGAACAACCTAATATTGCGTCTTGGAGTTTGTAGAGTTCATAAACTTTACTTTTGTCCCGATTCATTTTTTCATAATTTCTCTCTATGACGAATATCTTATTAAACACTCTTTATGACGAACATCTTAGTAAGCACTCTCTATGACGAACATTTTAGTAAACACTCTATGACAAACATCTTAGTAAGCACTCTCTATGACGAACATCTTAGTAAGCACTCTCTATGACGAACATCTTAGCAAACACTCTTTATGACAAACATCTTAGTAAAACTCTCTATCTATGAAGAACATCTTAGTAAACACTCTCTATGGCGAACATCTTAGTAAACACTCTCTATCTATAACAAACAAATTACATATAGAGATAGAGGGTTGGTTGTATGGAGAGTGAACTGTATATACAGTACCTAGACAAAAGAATCGGAATGCATGTTTTTGTTAATTACGTAAAAACATACATATCAACAACATATTAAATTTATATCATAAGTAAC